GTGGTGGTGGTAGTGATGGCGGTGTTGGTGGTGGTAGTGCTGGCGGTGTTGGTGGTGGTAGTTGCGGTGTTGGTGGTGTTGGTGGTGGAAGTGATGGTGATGGAGGGTGTTGGTGGTGATGATGGTGGTAGTAGTGGCGGTAGTGGTAGTGATGATAGTGGTGGTAGGGGTGTTGGTAGTGGTGATGGTAGTGGTAGTAGTGGTGGTGGGTAGGTTTGTGGTAGTAGTGGTATTAATGGTAGTAATAGTGGTAGCAATAGTGGTAGTTGTGGTAGTCAGTTAGGGAAGAAATAAACAAACAATGAAATTCTCCCTCCAAACAACATATTTTTTTCCCGCCATTTGTATGTTGAGGATTTGTGACTTTGTTTACTTGTTGTTGTTATGTTGTTGTTGTTGTTGTTGGGAGAAGAAGAGAGGAAGAATGGGAGGAGAGAGAGAGAAAAAAAATGGAAAGGACTGATGAGAAAGAGAAAGAGAATAGGAGAGAAGGAAAGAGAGACAGAAACAGTAAAAAAAAAAGAGACAGAGAGACGGAGAGAGAGATAAATACACCCAACACAAAACAAAGAAACAAAGAGAAAATAAAATCAAGAAAAGATGAAAAAATATCAATAAAAAAAAATTACAGTATACGCGAATGTCATGAACAGGAGGCGGCCATCTTGCTTCCTCCACCACACACCAACAAGGGCGGGTGATGGTGGAGAGGTGGAGAGTGGTGATGGAGAGAGGTGATGGAAGAGGAGGGCAGGAAGAGGGGGAGGAGACAGTGAAGGAGAGGGAAGAAAAAGAAAGAACATGGAGAAGAGACAGATACACACATGTACATTTAATTAACTAAGTCTATATATCTAACAATAAACTCACTGACACACACACACACACACACACACACACACACACACACATTTCACTAAACATCTATATACACGAAACTCTTTTTATTTCTAATGTTTATAGTAACATTCTAACAACATTTAATCCAATAATTTGTTAAAAAAGTCTAAACAAATTGGAGTCGGGAAAATACTCTTGGGAATTTAATATAGAAGGGGTTGACTATTAATTTGTTGGGGAACTTTATTTAATGCATGAGAAAAGAGAGACGGATAGAGAGAGAGAGAGAAGAGGGGGGTAAGGTAAGTACCCCAATGAAATACGAAGAGTCTTACCACGGGTTTTTTTATCTAAGTAGTGCACAAAATTCTGTCCATCCACCATAAATAGGGTCCCGTCTCCTCGTCCAGGCAATCAGCGGTCAATAACTTCTGACACACACACACACACACACACACACACACACACACACACACACACACACACACACACACACACACAGACACCACTGTATACGTATATCTCCATCTAATGTATACGAAAATGTTATGCGTTTTTCTCAACCATTACAGGAGGAACTGAAGCAATATCATTATCCCTAGTGTTTTGTCGGACCCTTTGAGAGTAGGGACATTTGCATGGCACCTCCCCCTACCCCAGAGCTCTTACATGGCTGCCAATTAAAGCAACGGGATTTAAATTGTGTTTCTTTCTTCCACCCACCCCCAAAAAATATACCCTATTTACATCCCAATGTTTTAGTATTACGATTTTGCTGTCCGTTTTCTCTGCCGTTAGAGGAGGGACTGAAGCAATATCATTATCCTTAGTGACTTATCGGACCCTTTTGAGCGAGAGCGTGAGCATAGCGCCCCAGGCACTCCTCTTGTGTCCTGAACCCTTTGCTAAGTCACTGAATACGATGCTTCCTGCCTCCCTTGCTCTCTCCCCCTCACTCTCCCTCACCTTCACTTGTTTATCCTTTCTCTCTCTCTCTCCCTCGCTTTCCCTCATTCTTCCTCGCCCTATCTTGACTCTCCCTCGTTCTTTTCCTGCTCTCCTCTTTCCTGTTTTCCCTTTACCCCGTATTTCCAACCGCATTTCACCGCCTAACACATGAAAGATACACACTGGACACGATTATAATTGCGTTTTATTTCTGCCATTTTGCACTCGCCATCAACAGGCTCAGCTAACGAGAGAAAAATAAGACGTGACCAAGTTTTGCAACGCCGCATCTACTATGTTTTCACGCCCGCCTAGTTCACGTTTCACCCACTTGACGGCGTGTAACTGGAACCTCACCAATTCCCAGTTACATAAAGAGTTTCCTATCTGAGTATACGACACGTCTTCCGAATCATTCAGAATCAGAATCAGACTCGCTGCGTTCACTAGATTCTGCCGAGAGAATCACATTTGTGCGGTATAGATACACAGGTGTTAATAGAATCATTCATCAGAATCAAATTTGATCGTATTTTTAAGAGAATCGTTCAGGTATTGAGTCGCATACACTACACAGTCTCTATCACACCACACACAGGTACTAACAGTCACACACACACACACACACACACACACACACACACACAGAGTCACACAGGTACTAACAGTCACACACACACAGTCACTCACACAGGTAATAACAGTCACAGTCACACAGGTCATAACAGTCTCACACAGTCACACAGGTACTAACAGTCTCACACAGTCACACAGGTACTAACAGTCTCACACAGTCACACAGGTACTAACAGTCTCACACAGATACTAACAGTAACACACAGGTATTAACAGAGACTGGTACAGTATACTGCGTCCCCACTGTAGTCAAGTTCATATTTGTTCGTATCGTCGCGGCCAGTGAAAAATTCATTTTATGCAACCCTGTTTTAATATTAATTGAATATTGGACTCTCCAATATCGGGTTATATATTGGTTGATTTCCAAATCAGAGATGGAATTGAAAACTGTTTAATAATTTGCTGGGCTTTTTTTCCTGTTTTTTGTGACATTTGTAATATATATTAAAATAAGATTTTATTTCTAGCTGTCTTTATCATTCCTTTGATGTTAAAATTAAAATCGTTTTTGTATATTATGTTATAAATTTTAGTTTTTTCCTCAGGTACGTATATATATATATATATATATATATATATATATATATATATATATATATATATATATATATATATATATATATATATATATATATATATATATATATATATATATATATATATATATATATTGATAAAATCACACGGGAAAAAGGGAAACAACGTAGCACCTTAGCTTTCGCCTCTGAAGATATCTTGGATAAAGACGAAAGCTTGGTATGTCTATGTTTTTCCTGTGATTTAAAATATATATATATATATATATATATATATATATATATATATATATATATATATATATATATATATATATATATAAAAGGTTACACTGTACCACCCCATTACGCTCCTTGTAATAGGAAAATAGTTAGTTTCTAATACGTGCAAATACTGTATATATCACACCGAATATTGCTGAACAGAGGAGAATATTTCGCGCCAAATCAGCACAATTCCTCTCACAAAATGTATCATCAAACGAAGTGCTTTTCTTTGTCCACTTATAGATAAAAGACCCGAGATAGGAGGAAAATATTCATGATGGCCGCTCGCGTTAGTGTGGTTTTGCTTAGTTAGCCACAAAACAATACTTCACCAAAGAAAATGTATTGTTTTCACGAGTTACTAATGAGATTTCAAAGGATCCCAATCTCTTTTGCTCACCCACGCTTATGGCGCCTTGTATTTTTGGTTGGTTGAGGTTTTGTGTGTTGCATATTGTCATAAATATCATTTGCAATATCATTTATCATTCGTCATTATTATCGTCATCATCAATAGTTATTATTATCATTATGTGACCTTAAAATTATGATGTAACTTCATTTACAATCACCAATGCCCTGACTCTCTCTCTCTCTCTCTCTCTCTCTCTCTGGTTCTTCAATAATCTAACACCACTTGAGCCGCCAACATGTGGGAAAACTCGAGGTAATTGGAGGTGGAGTGAGCACTTGGAGGCTCAACCATGTCCTCCACACGGCCTCGAGGGGGAGGTATTATTATCAAGACACTCCCCAGTCGACATAGAGACCTGTATGTGTGTATGTATGTATGTATGTATGTATGTGTATGTGGGTTAGGCTGTTACTGTATGCCAGGAAAGACAGGGGTTGTGGGGGGAGGTTGAGTAAGGGAGGGTTCTGTTTTGAGTAAGGGGGGGTTTTATTTTGAGTAAGGGAGAGTTCTGTTATGACTAAGGGAAGGTTCTGTTTTGAGCTAAGATTCTGTGTTTAAGGTAAGGTATGGCCACATCCTAACCTAACCTAACCTCTCTCAGTGTGGGTCCTAATTCATATTCTTTAACAGGCGTATAATAAGTTCCTCCTTCGTAATTGAGTTTTTATGGTATAATTCAAATAAATTATACAAAAACAACATCTTTTCTCTGAATCGCATTATAGATACGTAACCCTGAGGTATAAAAACCTAATCTGGAAAAAAAATATATATTCCAGCCAGATTCTGAATTCACGAACACTTGTGAATCCGGATCAGTAAGAACGCATCTAATTGAATCTCTTCGCAGGTAAATGGCGTCATTGTTACGTGAAGAATCTATAGTAATGTACAGTACTTCCTCTTATCTCCAGTAGCAGAAGAAAATCGACACACGAATCGTTCTAAATATCCACATATTGGGGGGTTGACTTAACATAGATGACGTCATAGATTGGTGGTGATGTAAGGGTTTTTTGACACTGGTGACGTCATAGATGGTGAAGAACGAGGGTGGGAGACGGTAGATGGATATCGACCCCAGATGTTTTATCGCGTTGGGAATGATCGGCAACTTGGCGAGGCTCTCTCTCATATATTAATTCCTTACCCTCCTTTCATTCAACCATTTATCACTTTTTCAGTTTTCTCCTCT